GGGGGTGTGAATGGGACTTGTGACCTCCCCCACGGACACAGCTTCGCGGCTTCTGGCCCGCCTTTGACGCGGGGCACCCAAACGGAGCCCCAGAGAGTGAGAAGCCTGAGGCCAGAGGAGGCTAGACCCGAAAGGCTCCGAGGGTGGAGAGCCAGCCTTCTTGGCCTCGCTTCGAGGAGAAAGACGACGAGCCTCCTGCTCTCTCCCTCGCTCCCGGGACTCAGTGATGCTGAGGGCAGAGGCTGGAGGTCAGGCGCAGACGGAGCCCCGGGCTGCAGCCGGCGCTCTGCAAGGAGAAGCCCCGAGCTTAAGACGCCGCAGGGCAGGCTGGAGGGCAGGGCAGACTGGAGGGCGGGAGGCCGAACGCAGCAGCTGGCGAGCCTTCGATTGGCAGTGGAGGCCGGAGGGGCACCCAGAAGCAGGGAGGGGGCCAGGGAGCGGACAGGGACCAGAAAATCCGCTGCCAGGGCAGGAGGACGCCCGGGAGGGCATGTGGGCAGCCGCTCTCTGACGCTGTGAGATCTTGACCCCGTTCTCTCCTGGAAACAGGGGTGTGGACGCCTCCAGCTGGAGGAGTCCTACAGTCTCGAAGCTCCACACCTGTGTCCCCAGCACTTGGCCTGGGCCCAAGAGGGCTCTTCAGAAAAGAAAGGATGGCTGTCAGCCACCTGTCCACCGTGGTCCAGGTGAGTGGGGGCTGCTGGGGGCGTTTCTTTCCCCTGAATTGCCTTCTGGATTTGAAGGGTGTGGGCATGTTTCCTTCCCTTGACTGGAAGCTTTTCTCCCAGTTTGGTCTCACCCAGACACTGGCCTCAGCTGCGCCCCCCCAGGCCCCCCCACACCACATGGGGCTCATCCTAGCGGAGGGTGGAGCTGTGAAACCTGCTGAAGGTCACAGAAGTGGCACAGTGGGGACAGGAACAGAGGTTCCTGCACTCCTCCACGGGCAAGTAAGACTGGGGTCTAGAGTGGTAAAGGAGGGCCTCACACGGGAGCTTGGGGAAGGCGGCACTACCTTGAGAGGTGGGATTTACTGGATTCATTTTAATGACACTTGGGTTTTTACTTCGGAGAAATAGTGGTTGCGGCCGGGCACAGTGGCTCAAGCCTGTAATCCCAGCACTTTGGGAGGCTGAGGTGAGAGGTTTGCCTGAGCCTATGGGTTCGAGACTAGCCTGGGCAACTTGGCAAGACCTCATCTCTACAATAAATCAAAAAATTTAACTGGGCGTGGTAGTGCACACCTGTAGTTCCAGCAACTTGGAAGGCTGAGGCAGAAGGATCACCTGAGCCCAGCAGATCAACACTGGGGTGGCCGTGAGTGTGCCACTGTACTCCAGCCTGGGCGACAGAGAGACTCCAACTCAAAAAAAAAAAAGAGGAAATATTGTTTGCCAGTGAAATGATTCAAAAGTCAGTGCTCCAAGAAGTTCAGTAAGTTCCTAAAAAGCCTCAAACAATCTTTAGAATAAGAGCATGGACTCTGCTTTGAGTCCATTCACTCAGGGGACAGCATAGCTGTGGGTGTACAGATTGTGGTGCCTTTGGTAAAGGTGTTCTACATCTCTCTCATTTAACCTTCTCAGGACTGGACCACGTGGCAGGGGTCCCTGGAAGGACTGAGTAGTCAGGGAGGGCTGTGCCCAGGGAGGAGTGTCTGGGCTGAGACCTGAGAGGTTTGGTCCTGTGGATGAGGGCAGGGCCTGGCCGCCCGGGGGATATGGGAGGAAACGTTCTGGGCACGATGGGCAGCACAGGTGGAGCCCGGGTGCGGAGGAGGCATGTCTTCCCTACAGCATGGGCTTCTTCAAAGCGGGGAGCAAAGTCCAGTCCAAAGCCAGGCCTCTGGGAGGCCCCGAGGACGTGCCCAGCATGTCACAGCGCACCCGTTCCCTGTGTGCTACCTGTTCGTCTCCACAGGCTCCGGGGGCTGCTCGTCTCAGTCTTGCCCAGAGAACCACAGGGCGGCCTCGGGCCCACAGGAGTGAATTTGCTGTTGCAGGAGCCAGTGACCTTCGAGGATGTGGCCGTGCTCTTCACCCACGAGGAATGGGGGCGCCTGAGCCCGGCCCAGAGAGCCCTGCATGGCGAGGTGATGCGGGAGAACTGCGGCCACCTGCTCTCGCTCGGCAAGTGGGGTTTAGCGGGGCTCGGTGCCACTTGGGGGCTTTCGCCTGTCCTCGCCAGGCAAGTGGGTCCTCGGGGCTTGGCTCTACTTTGGGGCTCTCCCGGCTCTTGCGAGGCAAGTGGGGGTTCAGGGGGCTTAGCACCACTTGAAGGGCTTTCCCTGATCTCACTCGGCAAGTGGCTCCTCGGGAATTTAGCTCCACTTTGGGGGCTCTCTTGGAGCCCTTAAACTGACGCCTTACAGGCAACTGGTTGGAGATGGGCCAGTTGAGAGTGCTGTCTTGAAGGCTGCCACTTGCCTATCCTTGGTGTCCTGGTCCCAGGGTCTTTCCAAGTCTAAGTTCAGATGCCTCAAAAATGACGGGCCAGATCGTTCCTTTCTGGCAGGATGAGGGATACGGGAACAGATTGTGTCAGCCCCAAGCTCTCTTTTTCTCCTGCTGGGAACACATCTCCACCCTGGGCTGTCCTGTCTAGTCACCTTTTCCAGGATATTCTGAGGACCGGGCCTTCTTGCAGTGGTTTTCATCTCCGGTATGAACAGATTTGATCATTTATCCCCTGCAAAACAGGACTCTTAGGACCCAAACCAGATATGTCCCCCCAGCTGGGCAAAAGGGAAGATTGGACGCCAGAGGCCGCCCCAGGAGGCTTCTCCCTGGGTAAGAATTGTGCATGCTGGGGCGTGGGGAGGAGACCTGCTGGGCAGGGTGAGCGTGGTGGCTCAGCACTAATGCTAGGCCTGTGGCTCAAGAACTAGCCCCTTTTCACCTGTGCCCACCTTGGTGTTCACATGAGTGCTGGCGTGCACGGCCAAAAGTAGCATGCCTGGACACCTCCTCCGTGTTTTGTCTTCTCTCCCTGCTTGGCCTGGATTGACAGCACCTTGGGGTGAGGAGAGCGGGAGACATCTGCGGGCAGTTCTTCCTCACCTCCGTGCTCTGGCGTCCTGGTGGCTTGCGCATCTCCCCCCAGTGGGGGCCACCTGGAGCCACACGCAGCAGGATGGCTTGCGTCCTTAAGAGCCAGTTTATGTGGCCACTGGGGCATCTCATCTTCTGGCTCAACATCCACTGTTCTCAGCACCCTCCTTGTTGTCACGTGGATGATTGAGCTTTCTTCTGTCTCTTGCCAGCCATTGTGCTGGACTGCAGGCCCGCAAGGACCAGGTTCCACATAGCTTGCTGTAATGCTCACCCGTAGCCCAATGCCTGGCACCTAGTCAGTGGCTAGACTTGCTGCTTGGGGTTGCTAAGCCCTTCTGGTAGATAGGTTTCCCTTTAATTTTTCTGCTCTCTGGGCCGTGAGATAGCAGAGGGCAAGAGCTGATACCAGGGCACCTGCGGGTCAGCACCGAACTGGGGATTTAAGGAAAGCTGATCCTTCCAACCTGAGAAGTGAGTGTGATTGACCTCACTTTTCCGCAGCTGAGCCTCAGGGCGGTTCACTGACTCGGGCTCATTTATGTTGCCACTAAGTGGCGAGTCCAGGCAGGCGCGAAGCCAGCGCCAGAGCCGTCTGACCCCTGACAGTGGAATTTTCTTCCCTTCTCCAAAACAGCTGTGATTACATGAAAATTGTCCCCTCAGAAAACTTAAAAATGACCCCTTAGTGGAAGTATTAGCCAAAATAGAAAACTGTCGGACTTTTCAAAAATCCGATTCGTCTCGTTCTTGAGAAACGGTATGTGAGGGTTTTAACTGGCATTTCCTTCAGTACTAACGAGATTGAACATCTTTTCTTTTTTTCTTTGTTTTTTTTTTTCTGAGTTGGAGTCTGACTCTGACTGGAGTGCAGTGGCCGCTCCCGGCCACCGCAGCCTTGACCTGTTGGGCTCCGGCGATCCTTCCGCCTCAGCCTTCTGAGTAGCTGGAATTACAGGGACGTGCTACCATGCCTGGTTGATTTTTTGATTCATTGTAGAGATGAGGTCTCGCCAAGTTGTCCAGGTGGGTCTTGAACCCGCGGACTCAGGCAGTCCACTCACCTCAGCTTCCCAAAGCACGGGATTACAGGCTGAGCCACCGAGCCCGGTTTATGAACATCTTTTCATGCGCTTGTTATTTGCATTCTGTGACTTGTGTGTGCCTGTCCTTTTCCTTGCTTTCCATGACAGTTTCTTTTTCTGTTCATTCACGGAGTTCTGTGTGTAGTGAGTCAGGAGGCTGTACTTTACCAGCTTGCGTGTCTTGTCCCAGTCTGTAGCTTGGCTTGTCCCTGTCGTGCCTCTTTCTTTTTTTTTTTGAGTCAGAGTCTCACTCTGTCGCCCAGACTGGAGTGCAGTGCCGCTCCCGGCCACCTCAGCCTCGACCTGCTGGGCTCCGACGATCCTTCCGCCTCAGCCTTCCGAGTAGCCGAATTACAGGCATGCACTACCACGCCCGGCTGATTTTTTTTTGATTTATTGTAGAGATGAGGTCTCGCTGCCCAGGTGTGTCTCCGAACCCGCAGGCTCAGGCAGTCTACTCACCTCAGCCTCCCAAAGATGCGGGATTACAGACTGAGCCACTGAGCCCAGGCTACCTCTTTCTTATTTAATGAAGTGAAACTGTCAGTCTTTATGACCTTGGGTCTTTGTGCTTCCTGTGTCCTGTTTAGTCTTTTCTTCCTTAGGTCCCCGAAGGAAGGACTGGGTCTTGTTTGCTGTTGTCTCCTTGGCAAACGCGTCTCAGTATGTATTTGTTGGATGAAAGACTGCATTTCTAATGATATTTACTGTTGTCTTCTGTTTTTCTCTGTAAGTCTTGTCTTGTTTATTAGACTTCAATGAGTAACCATTTGACTTCACTGATCTTTTCTATTTTTATTACTTTTTGTTCTTTACTGTTTCTTTCCTTCAACTTTTTTGGAGTTTTTTCTTTTCCTTTATTTTTGTGTCTCTTTTCTATATGAGTGCAGTGCACACATTTATTTAAGTGAAATCCTGCAAGACTTATTATGAACCATGGTGGCTCCCTTCCCCCTTCCTTGCTTTCCCCTCTCTAGAAGTCACCGCTGTCTCTTCTTTTGGCTAATTGTTTGCCTCTAAGAAACATGTTTGTGTTGCTACCTCTTGACTCTTTTATTGAATTCTTTATATGAAAAGAGAAGATTAAACTCAGCTGCCAGCCACCCTGCCTACTGCCTTTTCCATCCTGTCCTCCCAGGAGAGCTGTAGTGCAGTTTTGATTTGGTCATAATCAGTGTTTATATTCTTTTTTTTTTTTTTTTTTTTGAGTTGGAGTCTCACTCTGTCCCCCAGACTGAAG